GTGGACCTCATGTATCATTTCAGCTGCAATTCATACTATTATTATGACTGTTGTTTTTGAAAATACTTCATCTGCAGTAACTTTTTTGACTGTAAATAAATGTATTTGTGTTATTAGAATGTGATTTGCATTAACATCAAAAAGTAATGTGATTACATAATGTATGTGATTAGTAATGCATTACTTTACTCATTAAATAAAAAGTAATCTGGTTACGTAATGCACATTACTTTTAATGCATTACTTTACTCATTACATAAAAAAAGTATTACGTAATGCATGTTACTTGTAATGCATTACTTGTTATATCAAAAAGTAATTACTTTTAATGCATTACTTTACTCATTACATAAAAAAGTATTACGTAATGCATGTTGCTTGTGATGCATTACTTTCCTTAAATCAAAAAGTAATCTGATTACGTAATGCATGTTAGGCTACTTGTAATACATTACTCGTATAAGTAACATTAAAAAAGTCTGATTACATAATACGTGCTGTTTACGTAATGCATGTTGCTTGTAATGCATTACTTTACTTAGATCAAAAAGTAAAGTAATCTGATTAAGTATGCATGTTACTTGTAATACATTACTTTATTCGTAACAGTAAAAAAAAATCTGATTACATAATGCACGTTACTTGTAATGCATTACTTCACTCATAACATCAAAAAAGTAATTCGGTTGGGCTATGCATGTTACTTGTAATGCGTTACCACCAACACTGCTCATTACAGATGAGTTTGAAAACACCTGACGCTAGGTTTTCTCAGGGGAGGCTATGTTAAAAAATGTGTCCATCTTGAACATAATCAGAATTATCAGCTAATAAGGGTAAATTGACATATTCTGTTACACTGGAGGGAGCATCTGAGTTGGGTTTCCACAGTTGTAGCCTACCTTGACAGGCTGCAGAGATTTCTGATGGAATCGCATCTTCATGTTCTGAATTCAAAGATATGCGAAGTTCAACTTGTAGAGTTCAATTGGCTTTGCAATATTTCACATTTATATTTTTTGTATATATTTTTTATTTTTTATATGATTTTATTGATTGGTTTGTTAAATACACACAATATTGCTGTATTATGGTTAATACAGCATCTCTTCAGTTTAAGCCATAAATGCATGCTGTCCACTGGACATCTAAAAATATCTTTGAAAAATACGTGTAAAAAAAAATCTTGTTTTTCATGCCCTAACCATGAAACATAGGGGGCAGTGGCGTCATGCCCATTCAAAGTGGCACGTGCCCCCTCAAATTTTTCCTCCCTAGGGTGACCAGAAGTCCCGAAAAATTCGGGTCAGAACACCTGCCTTAATTGTCCCGAAAATTATACTAAAGCAAAATCTTGATATAAAATATTAAAAACTGTCCGTGGAATTTGAGTCGTCCTGCAGCCAGGCCCTTCCAATTGCAGCAGCCGCAGCCGCGAGGACAGTGAATGTGCAGGCAGCCAGCCAGTCTGGCCCTTACATAGTCAACGCATCGGTACGCATACGCGTGCGCAAGGCTACACATCGCTACGCTTCGGCCGCCATTATGCGTCGATGCGTAGCCAAATGTGTCATCCTAGTTTTTGATACGCGACGCGCCGATGCACGCAATACTATGCGTTGTCGGTGGGGGCGACATTGCAAGTAATGTACATAAAAAGGTATATTATTATGTTTACAGAAGAAGAAGATTTGAATACAATGGCGGGCGAAGAGGAAAAGTTATGCGAGCTTGTTCGTATAGGGTCGTCCCGCGTGACGTCACGCCATTTGGAGCAGCCATCTTGACGGTATAGAAAATGCTAAACCGCCGGTGATAATACAGCTCGTCGCAAAATATTCCTATCATTTTCAAATACCAAAAGCTGATCTTGTATTTTATTTAACACTTCTTTAAATCGTTAGAAACACAGGTTGAGACAACAGTCTCAATGACAGTTTATCATACTACAGTGTCACTGCATGGTAGCCTAGTTAACGTTACAAGTATAAAAAAAGTATTATTTAGTTTTTCTTGGATCAAACTAGATTCAACAAATTCATTTAAGATACACTTAATCTTGTTGGTGATTTTGTTTTGTGTTTTTCCCTGTAAACTCAGTTTAAAAATTATTACAGGTAAGTTACTATAATTTGGTGATAAAAATACATTGACCAGCCTTTGCGGTGATGATTTAAAAATCCTTCCCCGCTGACGTCCAAATCAAAGAGTTGCTGACCCATCCGGACTCGTTATATCGATAGCTTTTGTATGCTTTTAATGAAGCTCCGGTGTAGCGTGATGGTAAGTGAATAAGGTAGCTGTCATTCATGAACGATTCGTTCATTGCGTCTGTCCAACACGATCTCATGAACGTGCGTATCTATACCACGAATTTAATTTATCGTGCTATTTATACGCCAAAAATGTTTTTTTTTGTTGCGTGCATATGCTACGCACTGTAATCTCTTGGGTAGGATTAGGGATGGGGAGTGCGTGCGTATTAGGCTACACGCTAAATAATAGGTGGATATGTGTTCGGGGAATTTGGCGGTTAGAAGTATAACGTTTAAACCACTTGACTTGAATGAACGAAATGACTCGAAAAAAGATTCGTTCATTTTGATGAACGACTTCGAACAGGAGAGTCAGTAAAATGATCCGAATTTCCCATCACCTCAATGTCAGGAAGTTTTTCCTACACATTTAATGCCTGTAAAAAGAACTTGTGGTGCTTCATGGATCTATGATTCCTAATTCCTTTATCTTCCTCTTGTATATTTCTTTTTGTGATGCTAATAATAAGTGCGATGACATTACGTGAAGAGTTGTCTGACGGCCGCTGCGCTAATAATAGATAGTGGGGGGAAAAAATCGATTCTGTTCAGTATGGAGATATTTTGCGCACGCAAATACGTATTGCAATATTTAGGCTAATTATATTAATAATTATTTTATTAGTATAATAATATACTAATAATATATTATTACACCATATTATACACGCAATATCAATACTGTAGCGCAAAGTATTGCAATATTTAGGCTAATTATAAAATGATTATACTAATAATTATATTATTAGTATAATAATATACAAATAATTATGTCATTAGTATAATAATATATATTACCCACGGCTATTGCCGTTGAGTAGCTGACGGATGTATTCCGTCAAAATGGCTGACGCGCGGCTAGGGGTCACGTGACTGGGAGATCCCTATACATCCTTTGTTGCCGCCGATGTAAAATCAGCAATATGCACTCCTCTTCAGTTGCCATTTTGATCTGAATATTACGTGACCCGACTCTAGACTCTACTACCCTGCTGCGCGATCGGTGTATTGCATTTCACGCATCGCCGGTGACGCTTGTGTACTATGAAAAGGAGCGCGTAGCTCGCGTCGCTTGCTCGCGTTGCTCGTGTTGACTATGTAACGGCCCTTAAAGGAGTGATTGATTGGTCGCGTCACTGTGTGCAAAAAAAAACTTCGTCTGGGCCTTAATGCATCTGATGTCGGGTTAGGCCTACACAAAGCAAATCATCTACAAAATTATTTAGTTTTCCTATTTAATGACCGACAATTTAGTTGTAATAATAATTTTGCCATAAGGCTTATTAGCGTTAGGCTATAGCCTGAAAGGTCTGATTTAGCCTACACACTGTTACAACAGTAACACATTTTTTTTTGACAATGACATTTGAGTTCATGATTTTAATGGTTTTTTTTTTTTTGGCAGACTAAAGACTAATGACAGACTTTGATCTTTGAATTAAAAAATATGTTTGGTTCAGGTTTGAAATTCATTATCTTTTAATGTAGTCTAATATCATAGTAGGACTACCCCCCAAATCCCTACAGCATAGTTGTTATACAGATCGCTATACATATTGCATTTGATTTGATTACTTTTTTACATTTCTGTCAAATATTAACCATTTTCAAATAAACGGGGTAGTGTTAACTTTATTCAGCACTGAAATCTGTCAAACTTCTTTCAAAGTCCTTCATCACATATTAATATTAAAATAACTTAATTTCAGAGCACCACAAAGTCAGACCTCAGCACCTTTATGTAGGCTACCTTTAATGTAAGATCGTTCTTAGGTCACATACCAATTTAAAATCATAACATAAAAACTGCAATGGCACTGTTTTTAAAATCATGTGTAGTAGGCCTAAGTGTACAGTAAGTGTGTGTGTAAACATGCTTTAATGAAGTAGACTTCAAAAGCTTTTGAATTTGAGCTTACAGTTCTTTCATCAACCTGTCTTTTACATAAACTTACAAAATAGATACTTTAACTTAGTCCTCAGAATCAGATAGAGGAGTGTTGCTGCTAGCTCCGTTAAGGTATTTCTGTCCCTCCCAAACTGCATTGAAATGGTATGTTTAGCAGCCAGAATTTAAAAAAATTTCAGGGGGAGAAACCCCCTGACCCCTAACATGATCCATATCACCCGTCAGAAAACAATTGCAACGTCTCAGATTGTGCCCCCCCCCCCCCCCCCCCCGAATTTTGGCTTGCATGACGCCCCTGATAGGGGGGGGGGGGAAATCCTGACTGAAGTTATCATAATTCATGCATGAAAGGGTTAAGCATCAAAAGAATATTATAAAATATCCGAATAAATAAAATTACATTTAAAGGAAAAACAGTTTAAAAAAAACGTATCTATTATTTAGAGTCAACTTTTATTTATTTCTGAAGATGAGCCCCGGTGAGGGCTATGCTGTAAAATATACACAAGGGTCTTTATAGCGCCGCCATTGGTCAAAACGTATATCTTTTTGAATTTAGAAACGGGGAACTGGTTTTGGCACTGGCAACCGTGCTGACGACACGCATCACGTCAACTTCAACTGACTGCAACTATTCTTAAGAAAACCCCTCACACCTCTCCCTTCTTTGCACAAACTCTTATTCTTTCAAATCTGGAAATCATGTAATCGTTCACAGATAACACGGTGAGTGTGAGTACAATACCAGCACTATCACGCGGGGTCTTAACGGCTCTTTTGCTTCTGAATGTCGCGGGCTAATAGCTTGCGCACTTTAGCTTAGCATTATCGTTTTAGCCACGGAATGGATAATTGAATCTTATCCAACCAACTATCACAACTTATCTTATTATATCCACATGCCCGAACTAGGATAATGGTAAGTAACGTCATTTTAACCTCAAGCGTGTTTCTACGCGCGTGAAATGACAGAAATGTTAGTTTTATGTCGTTAGCTGACAGCTAACGTCACATTGTGACGCCCCCATGGAAATACAGTAGTTTGGGATTTTCATTTTTAAACATTGTTAACAGGTGCTTGAGTGCACTGGATGTATTGTATTTCTATTGAGCTGTCAACCTCGTTTTGAACAAAGATGCACCTATGATAGTACCCAAAATGTTGTCTAGATAGACAGCTCCCTAGGTTTTGATACACAACCCTGTTGGTATATGTAATACATTAGGAGTTGTTTGTTTTAAATGTATAAATGGTTTTCCTCACAGTTATTGATTCAATCATGACCTCGCTGTCATCGTCGTCATTATCTCAGTTGACGGGGTCAAGCTCTTCATGCAGGACTCTTCCCGGGGAAGGGACTCAGGTGAGCAACAAATATGCACATTCACTATATTAACTCTCATTCTTCTTTTTCAAATGGAACAGTTTATTGAACTCTTTGACATGATCATTTAAAAAAATCTTTATATAAAAAAGATGGCAAATGTGTTTTACTTTTTGTGTCATATTTGCTACATCATGCTGTTATGGCTCATATAGTATGATAATAAAGCGAGAATATGGCCCAAACTGTGCAAAAATATAAAATTTTCTGCAATTGCTGATATTTCTATGGCCAAATGTTGAAATTCTGAGAGCTTATATGTAAATCAATGACACTTTTATAACAGGCTACTTGCACAAAATTCATATAAATAAGCAGTTGTCACACTATATCTTATAAAGATTGTATTTAAATTATATTTCAATTTCTGGGATGCAAAATATATAATGCAATACAATGATGATTGAGAGATGTACAAATAAATTTTTCTTACAAGCCTATTATATCAAATTTTGTATTTAAATACAATTACATTTTAACAAGATTTTTCTAAAAAAAGTGATGTATGGATATTAAACCAGTAACACCTTACAATAAGGTCTCATTTGTTAATGTTAAATAATGCATTAACTAACATGAACTAACAATGAGCAATATATTTTTTACAGCATTTATTAACCTTTGTTAATGTTAGTTAATACCAGTGGCGGGCCGTGCATTTCACACCTAGGCCTTCAGTGATGTCCAACCTGAATTAATAACTTTTAATAGTGTAGCAGCGCACGCACATACTCTCTATAATTGTTGTGAATTCCTGTTTTTATTTTGCACCGGCAGTTATAGGGTTAATTGCGGTGAGTACGGGAAAGGCCGGGTAGAGAGAAATGAGCGAGTGAGTTCGGCTTTTGTGTTAGTGTACAATGGTTCTTGCGTTCCGTTTATAAATTCAGAAACGGATCCTCCCTTTTCTTATCCTTAAATGGTTACAATAGTATTAATGTTTGAAAAAAGAAGTTGCTTCGATCATAAATTTACAAGAAAAATTAGGATGAAAATCATATTCACCACGGACAAAAACGGGGGCAAAAAATGCATTATACTCTCCAAAACTACTGAGTTTTTTTTTTTACACAAATCCATCCTAATTTCTTTCCTCAAAAAGACTTAAATTACTTGGTTGTACAGGTTGTCTGTGCGTTTCAGTCCCAACAACCTTTTCTATCGCCATCGAGGCTAATGTGCTGAAAGTCGAATCTGTCCCGTCGTATTTCTGGCATAAGTTTTAATTCGCTTTAGTGCTGAGAGTGTCTGCTCGACAGAAGCAGTAAGTTAAACAGGGAAAACACCTCAAAACATGACGACGTTACAGCTGACACAAGCACTCACGCAGATTTTTGAACGATATCAATGAGATCAGCGGGACTTTTGCCTTTAAAATCAGTCCTGGCATTTACAGTCAGTTCTGTTCTTACCCCGGACAGATCGATAAAGTTCCGTGACTCTGCGTATTAAAGCTGAATAAGGGATTTTTTCCGGTAGGTTTGAACCTGCTGGTGGTCGAGGAATGAAAGAAACATTCATTTGTGGGTTGAAAAACTATTAAATCTACAGGAATATATTTTAGTTTAGTTCGTTACAGATGTGGTTAGCTAGCTCTGACTACCAGTAATAGTAGTACACGGTCTGACCATCCAATCAAAGGACGTGAGAATGCCGACGTCATTGTACGCATGCTAGATGGCCCCGGTGCAGTCAACTCGAAATCTGATTGGCTGATTAAATCTGACTGATTATCTGATTGGTTAAAGCAACAGTTTCATTGCCATTCATTTTAAGTTACAGGCGCCCGCACTGTCGATTCTGAAGGCCTGAAGGCAGATTTATTTGACCCTGGCAACACATGATGGCTGAAATATGATTGGATAAAAGCGCTAAAATAAATATACACTGGAAGCAGCGCAACCAAGAGAAAAGCTATTTAAGAGAATGGACTATTGGAAATAATTTAATACTCATTCATACAATAAAATATATTAAAGTGCAAGTCAGTGATTCTGATAGTGTTTAGGCCAGCAGAGAAGGCCTTGCTGGCCCTGACGGCCCACCACTGGTTAATACAGATGTTCATGTTAGTTCACAGTGCATTAATTTTAACAGATACAACTTTTTATCTTAAAAATGTATTAGTAAATGCTGAGTCTAACATTGATTAAGATTAAAGGTGCTATCAGAGATTTTCAGGCCCAAAAATAAATGTTCACATTCATCTAATCTTTCATAACAATCCGCTAGTTGCCCGTCCCATAAGCATGCCGACCAAAAACCGCGTCTCTGTAGGCAGCCTAGGCTCTGAAATCTGCACACAAAAACAATTGGTTTCACCAACACTCAAAACCAAAATAAACAGTGTTCCAACCAATCACCGACAGGGGGTGAGTGTTGTGAGGTTTTGCGCTCGTGCACGGCTGCACGCGAAGTCGGAGGCGGATCTGAAGAAGCCAGCGTCTATCAACGACCGAATGTGAACATGTCTGAGTCAATCTCCAAAAGGAGGAGGAGGAGGATTAGGGAATACCATCGTGTTTATTCAAAGACACGAATAGTGATCGGGAAGGCTTTTGAAAGGTGGAGAGAACTAAAAGAATTCAAAAAATTTAAATCGGACGCCGAAGTTGCACTATTTCTTCTTGACAGGTGAGTAGCTGCTAATGCTGAATTTTTTGGATGTGAACTGTGTGTGAAAATATCCTTCTTAAAAAAAATGAGTGAAGCTCGACTAAACTTGGGTAGCTCTAGCTAACGTAGGCGACATTATGCTGAACAGGTTTGTTTGGGATCTCGCTTCAAAAACAAACAGAAGTGACGTCACCCACAATCGCTGATAGCACCTTTAATAAATGCTGTAGAATTATTCCTCATTCTTAGTTCATGCTAACTAATGTGGTTAACTAATATTAACAAATGAAACTTTATTGTTAAGTGTTATCAGTAAACCTAAATTGCTTCAGTCCAGTACTTGAAATATTACTAACAACATAAAAGTTAACTTTATGAAGCTTATTAAAGATTTCACAGCATAAAGACGTGTACCACAACCACATTTTTACAATTATACTATAAAAGTCCTTTTACTTACTAAAAAGACTGAACTCTCAATCAGAGGGTATGTAGTAGATTGTATGCAACAGGTTTTTCAGCAAAGATTTGATCATGTTGATAATTTCGAGACCTTAGAAATCCATCGAATATGATACAGTAGGCTTCATAGGGTTAAACATATGATTCCCCCCCATTGCAGGTCCACCCCAGAGCTCCTCTACTGCAGATCCTGAGAGTAGCAGGTGCTCGGGAGGAGGTGTTTACTCTGAAGGAGGTGAGGAGTGTGTACGAAGGGACCTCTGCGGATTGACAAATGCTGTAGATATTAAGAGTTTGAACTTGTCTGATAAGGTATATTTAAATAAGGCAGTGTTTTTTATTAGGTCATGCACTACCTGGGTCAGTACATCATGATGAAGCAGCTGTATGACAAACAGAGACAACACATCGTCCACTGTCAAGATGACCCACTCGGAGAGCTACTGGAAGTTGGGAGCTTTTCCGTTAAGAACCCCAGGTGAGCTCATAGCTACCAATAAGGAGATTTAAATGGAAGAGAAAATAGAGTCGGCTCTCTCTCATTCAAGTCAGCTGGTGACATCAATGGCTGACAATATCTAGATATAAATTTGTTATATTGTTTGGTGCTCAGCCCTATGCACTTTAAATAGTGTTTGTCAGAAAATGCTTACTCCACCTTTAAAGTCACTATTTACTCGCCCTGATGTTGATCCAAACCTGTATGATTTGTGTCCTAATGTGGATGGTTATAAATGGTTATGTTTTGAGAAATGTCTGGGGGTTTTTTCCTGTGTGGGTGAACTTTAACAACCTACTCTGAAAACATGAATTGCTCGGGGTGATGCATCACCCCATCTCTTAACTTTTGTGTTATTTAGAGAAATCAACATATTTTAGGTATTTATGTCTTTCTTTTCTGCCCTTCGTAGCCCTGTGTATGAGATGTTGAAGAGGAATTTGTTTATTTTGAATAATTCGGGTAAGTCCATCCTCCTTGTTGTTGAATTTATTTTGAATGATCTGAAGTATAAAAATGTCTCACAGACTTGTCACTCTGTCTTTTAGCACTTTCACTCTCTTGCTTTCTCTCATTTTGATTAGCCCCACCTTTCATTTTGAGGTGTGTGTGTGTTTGTATGTCTGAATGTGATGTTTATGCTACAGTAGGTATGTAAAAACTTGTTTATTTATGGTTTCAACTTTCTCATTGTATTATTAGGTTAGTGTACTGTGCAATCTTCATACAGGAACTTAAGAAACTTGATTTAAAAAAAGAAAAGTTAAATAAAATATTAAATAAAATAATAATAATAAACAGTGCAAAACTTTCTGCAACAGTATTGCATTTTCCGCCACTGATTGAGGCATTAAGTCTGGGCCAAGTGTGATTGACGTGTGCTTGGTGAATAAAGGGCGGGTTTTTTTTCTTTTGTTTTGTTTTGTTACTATGTCTTATTTGAAATACAGATGCAGCAAAGAATCTTTCTGTCGGCAAGGATTCTAATGAGTCTCCAAGTGAAGATCCTGGTCAGGTAAAACTACAGCATGGTGCACAGGAGAAACAGTGTCTGTAACTCCTCTTCATGGCAAACAATTGATCAGAAAATCAAATGTAATCCTTTCGTGATATATTTAATTTTATTCATTTTGTTAAGGCTGATATAAGTGCATTGTACAGGGCATTTTTGGTACCAAATGTATTTTTCTTTTGCTTTAAAATATGATTTAGGTTATCAAGTGATTGCTTTATTTCAACATGCAGTACTCACAGCGACCATTTTATACAGCTTTCCCCTTTTTTATTTACGCTCTAATCAACCAGTTACTTAAATGTAGTGATTGTCTCCCCAACCTTTCACATCCTTTCTTTCCATTGTAGTTGCTCAAAGTTTTGCTACAGTGCATTTTTGTGTGGAGAATTGCATCGTGATCAATAGACTGTTTGCCATGAAGGGGAGGGTGGCAGCTGTCTCCACCAGCCGTATCTGTACAGAGTGGCACCGTCTCTGTACTTCCCCACTGCCGGCCTGGCCTGGTGGTCCTTCTGGAGAAGCCACCAGCATGGGCCTGGCTGCTGGGGGACAGAGTACCTGTCTCTGTTTGTCGCTCAGAGTTTCCTTCTCTGCGTCGCTGCTTCTTTCGGTAGGACTGCAGCTTCCTTCTCAGTTCACTGGCCCTCTTCACCCCTCATACACCCATCCACATTTAACACCTTACGGTTGTGTGTTGGCAGAATGAAGTTAGGTGGGGTTGGGAATAGCAGTCTGGGATGAGGTCACTGGTACCGTCATGCATTTGTGCTTTAAATAGAAATGTGTTTTGTGATCTATGCTAATAATATGAACTTTTAAAGGTGTTATGATTTTGGATTGGCTTTTTTCCATCCAATATTACGTATTAGTGGTGTGGTATTATTTAGGTACCTGATGTCTGTTTGTTTGCTGCCACTCCATTTGCAATTTACATTACAAAACAATACAGCAGCAATGGTGTTTAATATCTTTTTTTAGAAAGTTCCTATTATTTTCCCCTTCCCTCTACTTGTGAGGACGTGGCCTTTTGTCGCCACACCCACGGGCACCTGCTGTGAAGGAACTGCCGTCCTACCGAGTGTCATGTCACTACTATGTGCTTATTCTGCTTTTTCCTTACTGTGTAGGTGTCCAGTGGGTCGATTAGCTCTGGACAGGCTCTCATTGTTGGCAGTACCAGCACTGGCGCTACACAGAGCTGCTCACAGCGCAGGCCACGCGATCCTGATGAAGGTCAGCATGAACCAACAAACACTGCACTCACATTAGACAGTGTAAAGAACATGACTTGCAATTGTAATATGTATTTAAAGATCAGACACCTCTCTATCCTGACAGACTCCTCAGACGGCTTACCCAGGTCTGCTTGCAAACGGCCAAAGCTGGATGTGACTCTGGAAGAGTGGGACCTTTCTGGGTTGCCCTGGTGGTTTCTGGGTAACCTGCGAAGTAATTACACTCGCCGAAGCAATGGCTCAACTGATATTCACACCAATCAAGTAAGAGGGCAAGCTCCCCAGAACATAATTCATATGGCTATTTTCTTATTCACGAAGAAGAACTTTGAAAAAAAAAAAGTACTCTATAGTCTTATTGTAGTCAAGTAAATGTAGTGAGACTGTCACACAACTAGACTGAGGGAACAGCTCTCTCCTGTACAGGATGAGGACACGGCCATCGTTTCTGACACCACAGATGATCTTTGGTTCCTAAATGAGGCAGAAAGCGAGCAAGTGAGTGTGGACATGAAGGAGGCGGTGCTTGAGCAGGGAAGTGATGCAGAGTCTCCACATGAAGAAGAGGAGACCAGGAAAGACAATAAAGATGACAGGAAGGTAATGTTACTTGCTTTTTTTCTTCACTGACTATCGTTTTAAGATGATGGACTCATCATAACCAGCTGCTTAAAATGCACTTTCAGATGCAAGAAGAACAGGATGATGACTCCCAGTGTTTAAGTGATGACACTGATACTGAAATCTCCACACAGGTAGACATATCATCAGGAAATCATTAGGAAAATTGTGCTCTATATCATACCTGCCAACATGTACGCATTTTGCGTAGCGGGCACGCATTTTGACCTCAAAGTACGCTGGTACGATTTGTCACTCTAAACTACGCAAAAACCTGGTGACGCCTCTTTGCACGCGCAGTCCTCAAATCAAGCGACAGCAAAAGAAGAAGAGTTCGACCAATCATAGCGCTGGGTTCATTCCCCACATTGCAAGCGGAGATGATTGACAGATGCGTAAGTCCTATAATTAAAAAGACACTGAAAATCGACACCAATAAAGAATCCACGCTCCACTCGCACGCGCCCGCCGTCTGACTGATTTAAGCGAGGACAGTCGGCCTACAGTCACGGTACTTCTGACTCCTGAAGGTAAACGGACTGGGGTGGATGTGGAAAGTTGAAATATTGTATTTGAGTTCATTTTAAAAATGGATTGGTTATCACACGGGACGGGAGTGATCGCATGGATTATTTAAAAAAAATACTCCGTAATTCATTCATGGTAACTCAGATAAGAGAAAGACATTCAGCCATGCAAATTATTAAAATGCTCAAGTAATGTTGAACAATAAATCTAAATAAAATTGAAATCGCTATGTCTTAGTGATTATGAAAGTGCTGTGATGTGTGGATGACTAAATCCGGAGAAACAGGCATTTATTTTTTCATTATCAGTGTTGAGAAACGTATCGCATGTGTTACGTGTCGTTATGTATTATGTTAACTAAAGTACCGAATTATGTTACATATTTATTTTGAATGAAAACTAGCGAGTTAGTTGGCGAATTTATGGATTAAAAATGACCGTTGTATGATAGCCTATCATGTATCAGTGCTGCGCGAGCTCTCTCACAAACACAGACTCGCGCACACAGAGAGAGAAGATATTTATACAATAAAAATTGACAGGCAAAGTTCTTTTATGTCAAAATGTCAAAGCTTTTTCCATTCGTGTTTTTAAAATTCGTTAAATGACAGACGCTTTACTGTTAACAGCCCTCATGTCGGATTCGTCTTATTCGAACACTTATATTATTGGTCATGTGACAGCCAGGACTCCTGTCTATTCAATGTTAACTGTTTTCTATAAATATGTTTGGATTGGCTAAAGTTTATTCAGCTAATGTGTGTCCTGTTTGTAGCCTAATGTTCAAATGCAAAAACAGCACGTCACAAATATAAGCCCTTTTCCCTGTGGGATTTAATATCATATTTGTATATTGGAATAATAAATTAAGTAGCCAATTTAAAATAAATAACATGTAGGCTACACACCGTTTTTTTGTTTTTTTTTTTATTATTTTTTTTTTATTACTGTTATCTAGGGGTTTCTTAATTTTAGACTAACTGACCAGCACAGATTATATGGAATACAATATCAATCATGAATAAAGAAATAGTGTTGAGTAGGATTGAAACTTTGGACTTTCACTGTTGCATTGCAGTGCAAGTTAAATTTTCTATTTGTCTCAAATTAAAAAACCTTTAGAATTATGAAGATAGGCATGTGTCTGTGTGTGTCTTGCATTCTCAAAATAAGGACAAAAATATACGACGGGGGGGGGGGTTGTACTCATAATATTTCTTCTAGGTTGGCAGGTATGCTATATTAGTGATCATGTTTTTTATAATGAATATTTTACTCTCGCCAAGGCTTCATTTATGTGATAAAATACAGTAAAACAGTAATATTGTTAAAGGTTATTTAATATTTATTTTTGTGATTGCAAAGGAAAATTTTCAGCATCATTACTCCAGTCTTCAGTATAACCTGGTCCTTCAGAAACTATTCTTAAATGCTGATTTGGGGCTCAAGAAACATTTCTTTTTATTATCAATGTTGAAAAACAGTTGTGCTGCTTAATATTTTTTGTGAATACAGTGATACAATTTAACATAAATTTTTTGAATACAGCGGAACATCTTAATCCTTTATTTCAGGATTTATTTGAAGCAGCTTTTATTTGAAATTCAAATTCTTGGTCAATTTAATGCGTTCTTGTTGAATAAAATCTTGTAGACCCCAAAATTAAGAATGGTAGAGAATAATGGAAAAAAAATGAAGAATCATAGGGTGTATTAAAAATATTGTTTGATTGCATGTAAGTTGATTATGTTTCTATTTTTTATTATTATTTTGTCAAATAGTTATACGTGGATAAAAGGCACAACTTATTCAAATGACCTTATCTTCTGGCAGGATGCATGGCAGTGCTCAGAGTGCCGCAAATTTAACACCCCTCTTCAACGGTACTGCATGCGCTGCTGGGCTCTGCGGAAAGACTGGTACAAGGATTGTCCTCGTCTCGTACACTCCATCTCTGTTCCAGACATCCCCGCCTGCATTTCACGTCCTGAGAGGGAGGAAGACGAGGAGGATGATGGAATCGACATGCCTGACTGCCTTAGGACTGTGTCTGACCCTGTCGTCCTCCCCTCGCACCACGTCTCTAGAAACATCCCCCCATCATCCGCTTCGTCGTCAAAAGGAAAGGGTCCTTCCCAGCTTCACCCCCACTTACAGGAGAGCTCAGAGGGTGACAGCCAGGACACGCTGGACATGGAGACAGAATGCCAACCCGAGGCCTTGCTAGAACCCTGCAAGCTGTGCCGAGTGCGGCCGCGAAACGGCAATATCATCCATGGCCGCACAGCTCACCTGATCACCTGTTTTCCCTGTGCCCGCAAGCTGCACAAATTTCATGCTCCTTGCCCGGGCTGTGGCCAGGTTATACAGAAGGTCATCAAAACCTTCATAGCATGACCGAAACATCTTCAAGCCGCACGCATGTATTAAACACACACTCGCTTGCTACTTAAAAAAAAAGTTTATATACACAATATATACGCAAGGAGGCAGAGAAATTGACAAACGGTTGCTGGGCTAAAATGAAAATAGTACAATGTATCTATAATAATTTTATTGTAAAGTACAAATCGAGTATAAATAATGTACAGAATCTAACTTAAAGAAACTGGCCTCATATTGATAGTTCGCCATTGTTTTGTTACCGTAACTTGGCTAAAGACAGTTTGCTACTGCCTTATTGGGAAGATATGCATAATTAAAATCCTAACCTCTGTACAGTCCACTCAGTTTGTAATTGCACATTTAAAATGCCTTTCAATGTACTTGACAAACTTTGGTTTTACTTTATTTTAGAAGATTTTTCCCCTTGTGGATTTCTGGCACTTAACTAAAGCATCACTTAAGTTGACCTGGTGAAAGGTTTTTCTTTAGACAGGTGCTTGAAACTGATTAAATGGGAATATTTATTTATTTATAAACTTTGGTTTTTGTAGATGGCATCTAATAGAATGACCAGTCAACAGTTCCAAGTCATTCCTGTGCTATGAGAAGAACCAATTATATTACAGATTGTGAAGTATTACAACACCTTTGGATGTAGAGGTGGTACAATAGAAAAGTGTAATTAGACCAATGGCCACGGTTTTTCCTTCCAAACCCTTTGGTTGCTTATGATGCTCGGCTCCTTGTTCCTTTGTTTGTTTGTTTTGTTTTTTTATTCTATACCTGAACAGATATGATGTATGATTAAGGACTAATTGTGTTCAATTCTGTTCAACCCTCTGCCTTTCCTTCTAATTCAGATTTCCTGTCATCCACACACACAAGTGTTCTTTTATGAAGGTTAAGGAACATTTATTAGTGGAAGGATTTCTTATTTTCCACAGAGCTGCCAGGTGAGATGATGTTTATGGGACAAAAAAAGTGTTTTGAAAGCAATGTCGGCCATACTTTTTTAAATAGTGCTTTATTTTGCAGAAAGTTCATCTGTATTGTTGGCCGTGAAATTTACCAGAGCACTTCTGTTATGTGGGAATTTAGGGTTATTGTCCTCTGCTTTTCTTAATAATGCGTTGTTTCCCGTAACAAAGTGGATTCAGTCTCTGTTGTGTATTATGTAAGCGCAGCCATAAAGGACTCTTTGAAAAGGAATTCTGTTGTTCTCAGCCACCAGAGGGCGAAATAGCTTTTCACATGCAGTAAACGCATGGGACTAGCTTTGCTTATTTCTAATTAATGCTGTGTTATTTACCTTTTGTGGATGCGGAGGCTGTATTACAATCCCATCCAAATTTACCTGAACTTTCTTGTGTGGTATAAACACTGCTATTTCACTGCCATTATGCCTCATAATATGGAACCTAAAACAAATTCATTCTAAGCCAATGACGTTATAAAATGAAGTTTTTGTTTGTTTACGTGTTTGTTTTCCAAACATTGTTTCTGTTTAGATTTAGTCTGAGCAGTAATTTTTTTTTTTGTCGTTTTTAAAATGTAAAATAAACAATCAAACCAATGGAAAGGATGCTCTGGTCATTGTACTCATCCTCATTGCTGTATTTTTATTTTGACTATAACTATGCATTTCAGAGCATACATCTTCAGCATATTTTGCAACAGATGTGACTATATTTGTTATGCAACCTTTACTATACATCTGTTACAAAATAAAAAAAGTAAGTTTCTTTTTTTTTCTACCACAAGGAGGCAGTAACAGTCTTTTAGTTTCTTAAGAATCATTTTGAAAATCTTTGGGAGCCTAACATAATGCTTTGCTGCCTTTTGAGGTTGGCCTTTGGAGCTTTTGCATAACCCAACCATTTAAATAGTTTATTTTTATAAACATAAAAGCCAGTTTGTTCATGATGCATATTCTGGACATTGAAATGTTGGTCAAATTCTTGGTGTGTCTGAAGACTGTGAACATGAAATTCTGCTTGTTTCTGTCTTTCAGGGCTGTCCAATAGAAGCAGTGATGTAACTGGAAATCAATAACGAAAGTGTCTCGAGGGGTGAGTCTCCATGCTGAAGGATAATTAGGTTCTTCCTCTAATCACACCTCTAATCTCTCACCATCTCAGGTCTTTGTCTTAATGGGCCTACCATCAGGTTGGATCTGTTAAACTGGCAGTAGCTGGTCGCTGTGAGGTTCACACATAATCAGCTCAATGTCCTTTGCCATATCACTAGTAGAAGGACGAGACAATTAGGAGCCCTCAGCGTTTCAAGCTTCAATTTGACATTTTCTTTGCATTTTTCATGCTTTGTGATCTCATAATGAAGAAGAAACTCCCCTTTCTGTCTTTCTTTCTATTGTTTATTAATTCTCTCTCCTTTACACGCACAGGCCGTTGTTTTAACTGTGTGTTGTGTTTATGCAGGAACCAGGCTGACATGTTAATGAGCTTTGTCTTTAGGTATGTTTCTCCAACATGTCTTACATTATGTGCCTTTTAGGTGGTGTTTGAGAAATTGGTATTGACAATTCATGAAGGAACTATTCGACCACATATGCCCAAGTTGCTTGGTAGCATTTTCAGGCTCAAAAATTCATCCATTGCTGTCATGAATGCAGAGACAATAACGTGAATTTCATTAAGTAAGATTCCCCTAATGATAAATACTTATTCGAAATCCTGAAATAGCTTGATGCATTGGCTGCTAATGGCACAGCTTAGATCTGCCTGTACAATGAGTCATACACCACAGTCACACGGGAGGAATGACGTCTCATTGTTTTCACTTATACAGTCATGGTCAGACTTTTTAAATAACTGCAAATGATTTCAAAATGATATCATTATTTATTTACCCACCCTGATGTCGTTCCAAACCCCCAAGACTTTCATCTTCATAAAAAACACAAATGAAGATCTTTTTGATGAAATCTGAGAGATTCCTGTCCCTCCATTGACAGCTACGCAACTACCACTTTGATGCTTCAACAAGTTCATAAAGAGATTGTAAAACTAATCCATATTAATTGAGCGGTTTAGTCCAAATTTTCTGAAGAGACACGATGTTCGCTTGACGTGGGAGAACCAATGAGGTTCATTCTCATGTTACGCATCACTTTTGAGCTTCTGCAGAAACCAATAAGGTTTGTTCTCAGGCGTCAAGCAGGCTCGGTTGAGCTTCTGTTTATGTTCGCTGATCAATGTTTATATGTGAATAAAAGCCTAAACTCAATCTCTTCATAAAATAAAGCGATCGTGTCTCTTCAGAAAATTGACTAAACCGCTCAAGTCATGGATTAGTTTCACTATACCACTTTGATGCTTCAAAAAGTTCATAAAGAGATTGTCGTGTAGCTGTCAACGGAGTGACAGATCTCTCAGATTTCATCAATAAGATCTTCATTGTGTTCCGAAGATTAATGAAAGTCTTACAGGTTTGGAACGAAACAAGGGTGAGTAATTAATGACAGAATTTTTATTTTTGGGTGAACTAACTATTTAAGGTACAACAAGGCTGCCGCACCTTTCACATATACCATTTAAAAGTTTAGAGCCTAGTTTTTAAAATATTTTTAAGAAAAGTCTCTTATGTTCACCAAGGCTGCATTTATTTGATCAAAAATACAGTAAGGCAGTAATACTGTGAAATATTATTACTATTTAAAATAAGTTTTCTATTTGAACATTTTAAAATGAAACTTATTACTATGATTGCAAAGCTGAATTTTCAGCATCGTTACTCCAGTCTTCAGTGTCACGTGACCCTTCAGAAATCATTCTAACATGTTGATTTGGTGCTCTAGAAACATTTCTTATTATTACAAATGTTGAAAAACAGTTGTGCTGCTAGTTTTCTTTTTAGGATTCTTTAATTAATAGAAAGTTCAAAAGAACAGCATTTATTTGAAACTTAAATATAAATTATCACCGAATTTGTATTTATTCCTTCAATATAGATGAGTTGAAATGCAGAGCTGAATGTGGAGTGTTATAGTAGATGTGGAGACCTCTCACATGGATATATGTGCACACGCTCTCATGCCCTACCTAAAACAGCCCAGTTCTACTCCATTAACCAGTGTCACTTCCCATTTCTGGGCTCTTGCTCCCCCGTTCCATATTCCATTATCCTACTCACACGGTCTGCCTTCCTTCCCCTTATGGGGAAATCGATAGCCACACTAAATAGATTTCACAATCAATTTTTCTATCATCGTTCCACAAAACTGCTTCCTGGCTTTGAAAATGGGAACGCCTTAAAGGAAAGGAAAAAGAGAGCAACAGGATGTTTAAAGCGTTCAGATTCCTGCTGGCCTGGTCTTGAACAGCTGAGGTTAAGGGTGTATGTAGTATGTAGCCTGAAAAGTTTTTAGGTGAATGTTTTGTATAACATTGCAAAAAGTGTTGCTATAAGCCAGTTAAGTCATGGCAAGGATTGTATACATTGTCGTTCAAAAGTTTGGGGTTAGCTTCTTTTTTTGTTTGTTTTTAAATAAATGAATACTTTTATACAGCAATAATGGATTCAATTAATCAAAAGTCACAGTAAAAACTTTGATGTTGTAAAAAAATAATTTCAAACAAATGCTGTTCTTTTTACTATCTAGATAGTAATAAGAAAGAATGATTTCTGAAGGATGTGACACTGAAGACTTGAGGAATGATGCTGAAAATTCAGCTTTGCCATCACAGGAATAAATTACATTTTTAAATATTACAATACAAAATGGTTATTTTAATTGTAGTACTGTATTACTGTATTTTTGATCAAATGAATACAGCCTTGGTGAGCATAAGAGAACATAAATCTCTTCTTTCAAAAACATTCAAAACTGACTCGAAGTGGTAGTGTACCGAAAGCAAAGTCTGTCTTTTAACTGGATGTGTTATTTAGTTGGGTTAGTAATAAAATGTAAGATCTAACATACTCCAACAAGATTCTCTTCAAACTGTTGTTCTGTCCTTGACAGTAGTTGAGACAAGTGAGCACAGACGTAGGCTGTTTGTGCTATTATCTGCTATGCCCTTTAGAATGTACAGCTTTGTTACAGCATGGAACAATGTAGAATATCTGTGGTGTGACATGAAAATTGCCTTCAATGTTAAAATTTTAAAATGTGTAACTTTGAGGACTTTTAAAATAATAGTATTTGAATCTTCTCTTTAAAAAAGAAAATATCAAAACGTGATGTTTAAAACTTGTTCTGGAGTCCCTCTATTGTTAATATGTTTGGTGTAATTGTCTTGTTGGAAGAACGTGTGATTTTTCTCATTGTTTGTGCAGAGAGTATTGATGGAGAATCATTTTCAGGCAGTGCTTTGATGGTGCTTCCTCTTCACGATAATTTAACCAGCAGTGCCCGCTGTGACATCCAAACATTCATTTGTCAATACGCGAGTAATGATTCCTCAACAGTGGAATGGAGTTTTTATACAGAATGGCCAAGCAGTGTCCTCATTAAAGATGATTTTTTCATCAATGTCATCAATGACCTCTTGCATCACGGGGACTGCATGTTTCCGTAAATACAACATTTCTTGTCTTTTTGTCATTGTGGAATTTTCACTTTCCAAAAATCGAGTCTGGCTAAAATGTTTTTGCAAGGCACTTATATATATATAGATGTGCTTGAGATTTTTTTCTTTAAAGTTATATATATAT